CTTATTACCTTGTGGCCATGACTTATTATCTTGTGGCCTCAATTATAACCTTGTGGCCTCAAGATATTATATCGTGGCCACGAGTTATTATCTTGAGGCCACGACTTATTATCTTGTGGCCTCAAGATTAGATATCGTGACCACGACTTATTATCTTGTCTAATTGTAGCGACTCCAAACCGAAATTTTGTTACGATTGGTTTTGGAACTATTGAATCAAAAGGTCCCTAAAATTATGAAGACGACCATTATTATGTATTATGTAATACCACTGTCGTAAATGGTTGACTCATAAAAATAATTTTCTTAATTTACGCCACAATTATCATTCACAAATTTTATTGCTATTTTGTGAAATGATGAGTATTATATTAACTAGGTAAACAAGTGTTAATTAGACCTCTAAAAACAGCTTTTAGATACATGTATTTTGTTACCGACATTTTCGCGTAAATGAATTTTCGCTAAAATAGACATTTCGTGTCTTCCTAACAAATTTTATTACAATCCGAGTCCATTAAAAGCCAAATTACTCTAATTTAATATATGAATTACAAATCGATAACGAATTTCATTTTGTCACACACGCATCTCTCACGCGATCATCGGACGACAGTTACAATCTTCTGGTTTCCTTGCGACATGCTCTTTCAAAGTCTAACAAACGATTTTATTCTGTGATTCCATCTTGTGGTAGTTTATATATAGCATTTTATTAATTAAATTATAAGCGTCCCTTTCATCTGTGTTTCATAAAAAAGCTTGCCTGTATGGTCTCTTTCCGGTGGCGAGGGTTAACAAACCCAAACACTCTACAGTGTCATAAAATTGCGTATTTATAAAAGATAAAATACTATTATTTTAGGGAAATCTGTTTAGGTCACAGATATATAGTGCACAACGTGTGCAAAGTATTTCAGTAAATAATTCCAAAAATGTTAATGTTCTTTTGTGTGTTAATGCAGTATAGTTGTAAGAATATAACTAATAATTATGTAAATTAAACAAAAAAGAAACAAAGTTATTATGAAATAGAAACAAATGATGCACGCATTACGTCAATCATAAAGAATGTTAAACTTTAATAATATATTCTGAAAGGGTACTAAGCTATATTCTTGCATAAAAATTGCGCACACATGCGCTTTGCGCATTTTTCAATATTTTGCAATTCAGGGCGCCAAAGAAAATGGCTGACTGTGGTCTGACCTTATGACGCCCCGGTAATTTAAATAGATAATAAAAACAAATCACTCTCGTGCTATAGCATTACGAAACAAGAAGATCTGTTAGCTCGACTTTTTTGTTGTGAGGTATTTTGTCGTCCATTTTGTTACCATATGATATTATTTTCCTCATTCTGATTGGCTTAGGGCAAGCGGTGTTCGGGTAGAAATGGTCAAACTATATATAACTGTATGTCTAGTAAAGAGTGGAGCCCCAGACCACATAGCTCAATTGGTTGGAGCGCGAGACTTGTAATCTCGATATTGTGGGGTCGATTCCCGGGCTGGCCAACTAAAATTACTATTCAGTCTTTCGGATTAGACTTTAAATCGAGGTCCCGTGTATGAGTGCTTAAACACTTGGCACGTGAAAAAACCATGAGAATCTGCTGGAATTGGGGCATCTTTCTGTATCTGTATCTTGCACTATCCTCCAAAATGTAAAATGACTAACACTCTTCTGGAGGACTCGCCCATATGGGCAACCGGTGGCGAGTATAAATAAAATCAAATACAAACACAAGTGTGGGGCTAATGCATTTTTTTCCGGACGAAGGCCTTGACTTGAACTGAATTTAAGCACAGTTTTCATTGGCCATTTTAAAATTACAAAATGAAATCTGTGAATGTCATTGACTATTCTAAAATAAAATGTAAGGGATAGTTCTTGTCATTCTAAGATAGTTCTAAACTAAAATGTAAAGGATAGTTCTTGCCAATATAAAATAAAATATGAAGGATAGTTCTAAAGTAAGATGTACAGGATAGTTAACTTTCTAGTTAAATTGCTCAGATATTTAAGTTCTGTTTAACAATAATACTTCCTCCCACAAAACATTTTACACACTGCATTCAGATCTCGTTACATTTTCTATAGAACTGTTTATTTTATGTAAGACTTTCGCATGGAAAACTAAGAACGAACATCTGCAAGGTAACTGTTTTACTCCGGCCGATTATCTTTTTTTTTAAAGATACTTCTTGTTTCCAGATCCCTGTGCAAGTATAACCATAAAATGTTAAAATAAGGTGTTTGTACCGGATTTGAAATATCCAAAGTATAAAACGACAGTTATTTAACTTTACATTATTAAATTAACACCTGTATAACATTCTTTTAATAGTAAAATTAATATTTTAAAACATTTTTTCTATCTGTATTACATTTGTTTATTTCATCAACACAGGAATGCACACATACTATAGTGACAAATTTTGTTGCAACCGGAAGAGATTAGACTTTTTCAAACAGTATTGTACCAGACCATGCAGTCTGACTAGGATCTATACCATTGGCTGACCATCTTGATACCCCCAAAATTGATAATGGACAGTTCTACAAAATTTAAACCGTACAAGCCCAAATAAGAAAGCTCGGCAGATTAAGGTTAACGAAACTTTAATTATTCTGACCAGAATGCAATATATTTTGCAATGACTGTCGTGGTTTGAAATTTACACATTCGTTCTAAGGTTATTGTGGTGTGTGTGTGTAGAAAAAAAAAATCGGCATATATCCATGACAGTTTACTGCAGGCATTAATAAAGCATGAATAATAATTATTGCATGAATAATTAATTTATTTAATTAATTACGGTGTATTTATTCTATTAAGAGAGCCTAATAACTTTGATAGTATTTAGTATTAGACATAACAGCACACCCTGAAATAATTATACATGTATGTAAGTTGTTGGCAAGTGTGAGATACGAGTACATGATGGGATATTTCATATATTTATATACCTGATAATAAAACGTTGTAGATGATGGGATATTTCATATATATTTATATACCGGATAATAAAACGTTCTAGGACAAAATATTATTATTCATCATATAAATGCTCATTCAATAGAACTTTATCGACATTTTTTTCAAACAACATTTCATAAGAATATCCAAATGATACATTTCTATTGTTTTTATGAATATTTGAAATAATTACGCAAAATGTGCCCATTGTAGATTCACTTTAATAGTCCGAAGAAACTTTAAATGGTTATGCAAAATTACGTGGTCAATTAAAAATGGTTTCTCGTGCCTGTTGAATACGCAATACTATCTGTAAAATATTAAGTAATTATACGTAACAAAACTGACTAGAACTAGCGGTGTTATTTTGTCAATTTCACTTATATTTGATTAGCGGTAGGGGGATTGAGGATGGGGCGTGGGGGTGGGGGCGGTGTAAAATCGTGAGATCTTGAGCAATGTTGTCCTAAACCATGTAAACCCTCAACTCTCGTGAAACACTTCATTGAACTGTATCACGTGATACGCTGTTTCTATATGCTTTTCCTCTACAAGGCACTTTAACACATACAAGAGCCATAATTATTTTAAACAAAAACAAAACAGCGTAAGATGTCGTGTGATCATGAATAGCTGGGAAAAGTCCGTCTTTTGTAGTTGTATTGATTTGTCATTCGTTATCAAATACTCGCCATATGTTCATATAAAATACAAGCAACAAACATATTGTTATTCTAAGATATCTAAGCGTTGATAATTTACTGAATGTTTCTATGTAAACACTCACATCTCATATAAATATGCTTTCACTTTCCTTATTTTAACTCTAAAGTGTCCAATTTTGAAATCGCATCAACTTTTGAGCGGGGAATGGATTATGACTAGCAGATTTTGCTTTCTGAGATGGTAGGAAACGATCGAAAGAACAAACAAATAAAGTTACAAACAATAAGAATCAATCAATCAATCAATCAATCAATCAATCAATCAATCAATCAATTTGTTTTTTGGATATCCTTTCCTATAAAGTCGTCACATGAAAGCCACGTCTTTTTTATTTTATCTAATACAATGTATCATAAAGTGGACTATTTTAGATAAAAAGCAAGGCATTCATTCATTCATTTGAGAAAAAACGCTTTGAATGACAAGAGATGCAAACTTTATTTTGCCGCTTAGTTTCTTGCAAAACAGTAATATGATTTATAAAATATGGGCCTAATGTATAATTATAAATGAAATCCGCGACTAAAACGTACATATTATATTCGTAAATACCATGAGTTCTACAGTTATAGTTTTATTTGATCCAATTACATTGTTATATTGGATCCATACAAATCGTTTTATTAGACACAATTACATCGTTAATACAATATCAACCCAATATAGATACGAACAGAACGAAATCAAAGAATAGTTTGAAAAAAGAAGTGCTATTATTTTCCGTCCTTGGCTATATTTAGAAATAAATTTTCATAGAAAAAAAGTTCAATACAATACATTTACGTTTCCTAGGCGACCGTCGTTTATGTCCTATATAGAATTGACAATGGACACGTATGTTTATATATCTAAGCTATAATTGGGATTGTTTAACTTATCACTGATATCCGAAAGAAAACATGTCCGAATTTTATACGTTTTCTTCACAGCGTCTCTTTTATAATACGGTACTAATGCATGAAAAATATAGGTTAAAAGTCAACATAAATTATTAAATGCAGTCAAAGTCTAATATTAAGTACGCTTTCTTGCCCTAGAGGCCTTTTTACGACGGCTGTCCAGGTTATGTGACTGTATGGCAAGCTGTTCATAATATTTTCCCATGTCACCATAATTAATTATTCTTAAAACCATTATAATGAATAGAAGCTCTGTGCATTTTGTCTCCGAAACCGGTAGTTTTTTATGACAATGTAATTTTCTGATAGGCTAACACCTTTTTATTTACATGGTACATATTATATTGATATATGATGCCAAAATATGAATGAATGAATGACTCTGATTCTAGCGTGAAAGTATCGAAAATAATAAACAGTATAGGGTGGAATAATGTTCGGGAACTGTCTTCTTGTCGGATAATAATTGTGACATTCAAATTGAGAGGAAAAATGCCTCTTTTATTGGATTTATAAGTGAATTGCTGTATTAAATCGAGATTGTGGTACAAATAAAATGCTTCATATATAGCAGATGTCATTTTAATTTGTGCTTGTTTGTCCATCAATATATTCGCCGACTGTAGCTAATTGGCTTTTATTGAGGCCGAAACGTTATAAAAACTTACATTACATATGCGGAATTAAAATACGTACAATTTACGTACAGGAATGTCATTTAATTGGTGATTAATTGTGAAAAGGATTAAGAAGGAACAATATATCGTTCAAGTTAAAACGCTGTTTTAGCAAGTGCAGGATATATAATGAATATAAAATCTTATCTCTAATCTACATGAAGTATTTGTGAACAAATGATGTGTTAACTAGGAGATAATTCTTCTTTTATAAATGGAATAACACTTTTATACTGGAGTTTGTTGAACTAAACTAATTGTTATGAGTGCACGGCATAATGTATGTACATCTAATTTGCACGTGAAATCTTGCGACCAAAACATGATATATACTTACACTTCGGGCAGACCGTATTTCATTGACACACTTTCCAGGAATTTATATTGTGTTTTTTTTTTCTTTTTTAAAATTGAATTAAATGTAACACACATTCATTGAAGTCTAGACGTTTTTACTGTTTCGACAAAAACCTACACCCTTGACAGATTTAATTTTTTAGTTTGGATAGAAAACTACAAAATTTAAATTTGCATTTTGAAACTAGCATTCGTTATATGCCTGTTATTCGGAGAGCACAAGTTGGGAAATTTTCTTCTAAAATATCCACACATTTTTTTTTGCATTGAAGTTTTTTATTTAAGCCTGTGTTATTCAAAATCCTTCTCGGAATAAAACTTATGGATTTATTCAGTTTGTATTCTTGACGTACCTAGTGAAGATAAATGTGATCAAACTTATCAAGATTTATTAAATCAAAAAGTTTAATTACATTTCCTTAATGGCGTTTGTTAATGTGTTTTGTCGTACAAAATATCACCGGAATAAAATCACATCTGTCTCGGAATAAAATCTAATTACATTTGCTGATCACTCAAATTTCAAGACGGATTTATTCACGTGCTGTTGCCGGAATAGAGTCATGGGATGCACCCCCAGTATACATGTCAACCAGACCGGCGTGGTATACTGCCGCGATTCCGACGGCTCAAACTCACCCCGTGCGTCACACAGTGCTACTGTCATCACGGGGACTACATTGGTTCGAGCCGAGACTACTGAAACATCCCACACCTCTTCCTCTAGGTCTAAACGTATGACGGATTTCAATGCGGTTTCTTCTGGCGGTGCTACTTACAAGTTCGAATCCACAACCGACAGCATCGGTACAAAGGTCAGTTTCCATCAGTCATATTAACGTGTGTTTGGTTGTTTGCATGTTGTTGTTATTTTTGTCATCAATTACTTTTTTTTCTTAATTGCATGCATATCTGGGTACTTTTATTAAAATTCACTAGATTAAGAGCAGACAGGTCGGGCAATGATGGTAAAGCAGTTGTTTTTTTTCCGAATCATAACGGAAAAGGCCGAAACGTTGCAATTGATGTTCGAGTTCCAAAGTATAACAGAAAGGGCCCATATGTTGAAATTGGTATTGAGGTCTTTAACCGAAGAATGACGGAAAATGTTGAAGCAATTGCTGTTCAAAGTCCTTTACTGAAGAATAACGAAAAAGGCTGAAACTTGTTGAAATAGTTATACATGTTGAAACTCTTAGCTTTAAGTGATGATGGTAAAATCACCACAAACTTCGTGACGTGATTCTACTGCCACTCTTTTATTATAATTGTAATATCATGTTGACGCTCATTTGATCATCGCCAGGGATACGCTTCTGTAATTAAATACGATTCAACACTATCATAAAATAACATTGTCCATATCACAGGTTTCAGTAAAACTGCTGTGAAACATAAACCAATGCCTCTGTAAATCAGACGATTTTACACGTTTTTTTAAAATAATAAAAAATTAAGATGCGCAAACTTAGGGCGTCACTGTCGCGTTAGCAACGAACCCAGTTGTTTTCGTTTAATTTCAGCAATGTTCGGTGTTTTACAAGGTGGGAACAAACATACGTATGAATTGTCGTAAAGACAAACGGAAATAAAGACATTAACTTCAACGCATAATACACAATGTTTTAAAATAATTTTATGAATCTAAATTACCCTTATTAAAGATCCTGTATGTTGTAATTGAGGTTGTATACCACACTTAAGTGCAATTATATATATGTATGTAATTATGCTTATAAAACAATTTTCAAACATCGAAGAATATGTCAAATATGTATTGCAAATATTTGTACATATTATATGTAATCATTTAAATATATGCATTCATTTCTTATTTAGACTTCATAGAAAATAATTTTTATTACCTCCCTTTATTTACATGAAATGTTAAATTCGGTAATATCTTTATAAATAATGCTTTTTTGAACTTACAATATTGATAAATCTTAATTTGAGCACCTTATTATGATATAAAACCATGAAAAATATGTGTTACAGGATCTTTAAGTTTTTGAATACGCTTGAATACATTGTAAGTTTTTTGAATAAGTACAATTCAACACCATCATAAAACAACATTGTCCATATCGCGGGTTTTCAGTAAAAATTGCTATGAAAACAAATGCCTCTATAAATCAAACGATTTTTACACGTTTTTTATACTAATAAATAATCAAGATGCGCAAACTGAGGGCGTCACTGTCGCGCAAGCAACGAAGTCAGGTGTTTCTGTTTCCGAACAGCAATGTTCGGCGTTTTGCAAGGTGTTCAGAATACTAGGGAAATAAAGATATTAACGACTTAACGTACAGACTGACGGAAAGAACTTCAACACATAAAACACAATGTTTAAATCAATTTTATGTATCTAAATTACCTTTATTAAGTTTTTGGTGCTTTTGACTAATTTTGACAGGGAGGCATGAATGTATGAAGTGAAAAAATGGAATAATCGGATATAATTTTAATATTCTGTTTAGAATGCTCAAATTATTTTATTACGACCTTTTTCATGTCATTCGAATCAATTACTTTACCCGCGGGAAAACCGCTCATGCAGTGGGGCTAAAATTGTGTAATAGACTAATAAATATATTTGTCCCACTTAATAACTATATATAGAGCAGCCCATTATTATTTTAAGGACTTCAATTTCAAAATATTGAAAAATTGTGTACAGTCTGGCCGGACAAATTAAGTTGATTTCGCTAGCGGCTATGTCAAGTCATTATTGCAGACGCTCAAATTATTATTAAAACGAAACGATAAATGAAACGAAACCATTTAAACGAAATGATATGAATATAAAATGACAATCGCATTTTCTCGGCCATTTCCGTCAAACTTCGGATAAGGACATCGAAATAGCCGAGATGATCCGATAGATTAAATGATTCTAAACGAAACGAAATAATAAAATGAAACGATGCTATAAACTAAACAAAACGATATACACGAAATAAAACAATAAATGAAACGAATTGATAAAAGAAACGAAATAATAAATGAAACGAAATAACGAATGAAACGAAAAATGGATTAGTACTTTAACGATAAACGAATAAACAATAAATGTTATGCCAATACGTGATAACTTCTAAGAAAGTTAACAGTCATTTATTTATAATTTGCAACTGTCCATGTATAGTTTTATTATAAGCTTAACTTTTGTAAATTATAACAATTCATCAGTTTCGGGGAAACTTTCAAATTAAGTAGTGCCTGAATGCGAACATTGCAAACCCAATGATATCCGAAGACTGACGGAAAGGGCCGAACAGTTGCGATTGGGTGCAAACCATGACCGGCTGACCTTGGTCTGCACTGGTCACATTCGTAGATTCAGTAGCCGCTAGTAGGCTATGTTGATAACTTTTAAATGAAACAGATTAAGGTGTTCCTTTGTAGATAATTCTATATTAGATTTTACTTAATCTGCACGTTGAGTTGTATTGTCCGTATATTGCCACAAGAAAGAAATGATTACAGAAACGTATTATAAGTTGCTTCCCTTGACTTAAAACGTTGGGATAAAAAATTTTAATCCAGCGTGCTCCAAACAAAAGTTTTTATTAAAAAGATTAAGGACATGGAAATTTTCACGGTCAGAAATATATAAAGGATATGAGAATCTTATGATTAAATGGTCAAAACAATAAACCTTACAACTAAATATGAAGGACAGGGATGATCCAAAACAATATAAATTAACGCCAGATATGAATAGAAATACCAGTCCTTATAACTAAATATGAAGAACAAGGGTGTTCCAAACAACTCTATAACTAAATATGAAGGATCGAGTCTACAATTTTCATTTGATTGCTTTGTTTTGAATAATCTTAGTGTTTAAAGAATGTATGAATGTGTATGGTTATATTTAATGGACACTTGAGTATTCAAACCGGTGAAAAAGGTCCATGGTTCATACGACTTATACCAGCCCGCCATCGTCTTAAAGCACGAAACAATTAAGCCTAAATAATTCTTCGTTTCTTTATAAATAGATCGTTTAATTTAGTATTGTTATTGTTTTTATTATTATTATTATTATTATTATTATTATTATTATTATTATTATTATTATTATTATTATTATTATTATTATTATTAATCTATCTATTTATTTATTTATTTAAGCTCGATCATAAATTAATCTTTCAACTTGAAGTCATGACTTGAATTTTCGCTTCCTCAATTTCCTGTACTAACAAACACTAGTATCGTGTCATAACAACCACTATATGATTTTAGCAAACACATTCACTCATTGTTAGAACATGATGTATCCCAACAATAAGATTTGTATTTCAATCACACAGAAATTGATGTCAACAAGTCAGACGGCGGGCTGTATCATTCGTAAACGCACCGCAAGTACTGCGATGTAATAATTGTGGACATTTGGACGTGTGATGGTAATTTGAAGCGTTTTATGGCTTCAAAATATTGCTGATACATCATAATTTATCACCTATTATCTATATTTCTATGACACCGTCACACATTAGCGGAACTATATTGATTCCTTGTTTTTAGCAATATAACAACAGATGGTTTCCGTACTTTCCTTTCTACATTTCACAATAATATAAGTATGATGGACAAAAAAATCCTTTTTATTTTGGATAATTGATTTTTTTTGTTAATTATTACGCAGAGCTATATCTAAATATTTCTGTAATATGGGAGTAGATCTAGGATTTTTTCCAGAGGGGATAGGGTAGGAAGGTTTTGAAATGGGTAATGAATATTCTAGAGGGGTTTTGGCATTTTGCTAGTTTTCCTAAAGAGATCATTATTCACATTTTTTACATAATTTTTACTAGTGTTTGGATCATAAAAAAAACGAACTGGTCGCCGAACAAAAAGATTAATAAAAACAATTAATTATAACAAAAACAAACATCTTATTCTTGGTACCTGGGTACTGGGGTACTCTAGAATCTGGACGAATCCGTTTGCAATGGCTTTCTGATCGATGCCAGAAAGCTAATTTAAGGGTTGTTTCAAGGCTGTCGCATGCCCTTCTTGTAAGTGGACTTACTTAAGCGTTTTGAGCGAAAATCTTTTAAAATTTCTAGGAAGTATACGATTAGGTCCATACTTACAGGTATTAATAGTTCTTGATAACTTTATTTTTCGCATTATAATTAAATGATTAAATAAGTTCGTTCATACGAGGACTGAACCGATGTACTACTTATATATAGAAAGAGTGTAGATCATTTAATTTATAAGCTCTTGGAGCTGAAAAAAATGTAACAAACTTAGTTATTGTTTGTATATTGGTTAGTAATCACTAAATTGTAAAACACGCCACCTCTCAGATTACCAAAGCCTCTGTGAAAGTCTCGACTGGTGGTCAGGTAAATTTCCCGCAGAAATTCCACGGTCTGCAATGCGAGATGAAGAAACCCCGCGATATTTTGGCGCCAAAACAAAACCATCACAGAAGGAATGTAAAAAAATAAATAACTTGTAGCTAAATAACAACATTGATAATTAATTGTTATTCTCAGAAGTTATCAGGGCAAGTTCCTGAAGTTACATATATTGTAAAGCTATTACAACTCAGTTTTTATTACGATGAATTAAATAATATTAAATATTATATTCAGTAATTTAAGATAATTAAAATCGTTTAAAATGGATCCATTTTAAATTGATCTACTATTTCTTTCTGTACATTTTTATTTGATGACATTAATGTACAGAAGTAAATAGGTATAAAATACCAAAAAGATGTTTTCCTGAATTTTAATTACCATTCCTAGACCGCGAAAAACGAAATTAAACGCGTCATAATGACACT